TCCCAGCCTAGGGAATGAATCCTGATGGGTTTAAGCCAACCACAGCATCTCCCCCTACCCCACCACCACCACCAGTGATGGTCAGAAGTGGACATATGATCAAGCCCTTCTTCTTTTTTGGGGGGTGGGGAGGTACTAGGGATTGAACTCAGAGACACTCAACCACTGAGCTGCATCCCCAGCCCTATTTTGTCTTTTATTTGGAGACAGGGTCTCACTGAGTTGCTTAGCACCTCACTTTACCTGAGGCTGGCTTTGAATTCACAATCCTCCTGCCTCAGCCTCCTGAGCTGCTGGGATTTTAGGCGGATGGAGAGCGCCTGGCTCAAGCCCTTCTGAATGATATGAAGGAGGTTCTGCAAGAACTTCAGAGGGTATTGCTTCCATGAAGGAAAATGAGAATGGAGTAAAACGAAAGCCTTCCTCCTCGGTCTCCCTTCTTACCTTTCCTCTTTGAGTGTTGCATTGGGAGGATGTGACAGCTGGAGTTATGGCTGCCATGTTTTGATTATGAGGCAACAGGCTGGAGGACAAAAGTCAGCACACGAAATATGGCTGAGGGAGGAGGGGTGAAAGAGTGTGAGTCCCATGCTGGGGTTTGTGTTGGACCAGAAGCAGCTGATGCTGACTGAGGATCACAAGAGAAGAGGATCTCTGGAGGTCCTAACCCAAAAATGAACCTCAATTAGTCCCCCCGAGCACCTTGGCTTGGAGGGTCACCCAGAGACTGAACTCCTGGGGCACGCAAGCCTTTTGACCCCTGGTGCAAGGTCACTTTCCAGGTTCTCTCCCTTCCCCTGGGCATGCCACCATTTCCCTCCCCTCCAGAGGTGGCCGGGGAGGGTGCTGTAGCAGGAGCCGGAATCCCTAGTTTAATCCAACTTGGCTGCGTCCTCTGATGTTGGGCAATTCCTTGCACATGGAGGACCTCAGTCACCCTCTGCAGAGGGAGGAGGGCGTTGGACCAGATCTGTGGCCTTTGAACTGGTGTCGAGGAACTCAGGAGTTCCCTTTGATGTGCTGTTGGTCACCAAGGAGAATGCAGGGGAAGATAACTTGGCAGGTTCCCACGGATGTGTTTGCTAAGTGGAGTTTTTGTGTAAATTTTGTTTGAACAAAAAGACTTCCCTGCTATTGGTGTGTGTGTGGGAAGCCCTCGGCTAGGAGATCCCCAAGAGCCCTCCTAGGAGGCTCTGCAAGACTGACGAAGGGTGACAGAATGGTTCCCTGCATCTGGCTGGGCCCTGGGCTGAGGCAATATGGGAGTGTCCTTGTTCAGCCTCCAGGGCGTGAGCAAGAGGCCTGCTAAGACTCCTCTAGGAAACTGGTTCTAGTTCCTGCCACCCACATTGACTCTTTTTCTTTTTCTTTTTCTTTATTTATTTGCTGATTTTGGTGCTAGGGATTGAACTCAGGGCCTTGTGGATGCTGAGCACACGCTCTGCCACTGAGCTACCCTGACTTTTTAATCATAACATAAAATGTCCCACTTTAACCATCTTTAAGTATTCAGTTTGTAGCAGGAAGTGCATTCACAGTGTGGAACCACTATGTACCTCCAGAACTCTTTTTATATAAAATTGGAATATTCTACCCATTAA